TTGTTCTAATTCATACAAAAAATTATTTTCTTCCTCCTCAATATGGTAGCAGTTCTAGCTCTTATGCAGTTGACATCCTGTCTATTCTCTGCATAAAAATCCTTTTTTTAAAAAAAAAAAATTGGGGCTAATTTTCTTCAGTCTTCAATACCACTTCTTCAATAAAGATGAGCTCTCTACATGTTGATCAGCTATCAATACAGCTCAACAAGAACTGCTAAATTAAATAAAAGTCTCAATTAAACTCTTGAGAGCAGCAAAAAATAAAAACTACAATGGGAAAAGTTTGCTTAAAACAGAAGCTTTGATTGCCAGGAGCACTCTGCTCATTTTGCTGCTTTTGTTAAATTGCTATCATTACAGAAAAAGCATTTAATTATTGTTGGACATCATAAGTCTGAAAGGAAGAGGGTAATAACTAAAGATTTAAAAAAGATGTTTACCCAGCAAAATGATCAGGTTTTTAATAGAATAATTTAAAGGTGTAAACAAATCTACAACAATTATGTAAATTTAAGCTTCATTCATACTTTTGTGCTTGGAATTTATCCACGCTCTAATATTTAGATATTTAAATATCTATTTAAATTTAAATATTTAATATTTAGTTGGAATAAAACCAAGTCCAGATATCAAATTATAGTTATAAACTTTAATCAACAGTGAAATTAAAATGTAATTGATTTGTATAGTTATTGTGGATGTCCCGAACATGCTGCTTGTGCTTCATGCTTTGCTTTGTGTGAATGATTAAAATAGTTTATATCATTGGCACAGTGACATCATAATATATGTGACATCAAATCTCCCTTCCAACCTTCCCTGTAATTACCCAAAGACAGAGTCAACACAGAATTTGTTACTTTTGTTAAAATAAAGAAAAACACTGTACTATTGTGATGCAGGTTCTGATGTTTTCTTATCACAATACACGTAACAGTCCAGCAATGCCCCAATGCTGGTTTTATTACTTCACCACTACCAGCCTGTTTGGGACACAACACTCTGTCTTTGACAATTTCTTTGACAATTACAGTGTTGAAAATATCACAGGTCATGTGGGGCAAGGAACCTTGGAAGAATCAAGGCATAAACTGGTGCTGCAATATCACATTGGTGTCTGAAGTACACAGATGGACTTTTATACCATACTCTGGTGCTTGACTGAAAGCACTTCTAAAATTGTGGGTTAATGAAGAATTCAGCTAGCCCTCATAAGTCAATTAAGGGATAGAAACATTCTTACTTTTTATAAGCAAATTTTGTAAAAGCGAAACTCTCTCTTTTGGCTGTTTGAGTACCTGCTCCTGGCTATCTCTCCATGTCTGAGGAGTATCTTCCAAAGCAAAGATCGAAAAAGAGATGGCTGTTTTCACAATTCAAAAGCAGGGGTTTTCTAAAGTGCTTTTGTACATTCTGAAACATTTTTTCATGAAATTTGCATAGACAGGATTTCAGGAGTTGTATTATAAAGTATGAAGGAACAAAATAAAAAAAAATATGCTTTAATCAACAGGAGTTTGCCTCATATCATAAACCAAATGCTAATTCTCATTTTTATCATTTAGTAAAATGTATTTATCTGAAAATGTGTAAACTAATAAGAATTTTGTTTCAGCCTCTATACTGAAACAAGTGTTACTTAAATAAACCTTGAATATATTTAATGTTTCCACTATCCTTTTTTTCCATTTTTTTAGAAAGTATTAATTTAGTTTGAACATAGCTTTGGAAGTTTGCTCTTTTTTCATGGAAAAACTAAAAGAAAAGTCATCTTGAAGCAGATCAGCACCATCTTTCCCATTGCTTTCCAGAACTTTAAAGAGAATATTTTCATCTCTTTAGGCAATACTTCACATTTTTTAAAAAAACAACCACTCACAACCCATTTAATTCATGCAAAATGGATGCCTGTAAGTTGGACATTGTTCATCACTGAATTAAAAGTAGAAGATACTATGTAAGCAAACAGAAATAATTTTAAAAGAACCTGAGCATAGTTTATTAGGAGAGAATGAAACTCGGTAAAGCAAAGCCACTATATTTGAACAATGAATAAATATTTTAAATTTCACTGGATGTGGTTCATAATTAATACCTGAAAATAGTGTGATGGCTTCCCCAGATGCCTCTCTAGATACCAATTCTGATGAGGAAGAGCCATTTCAGGCACATCAGAGGGGAAGATGGAGGAATGTCCAGAGGTTGCCAGAGGCTCCAAGTCAGGAGTGGAGAAGCCAAGCATTATGGAGCTATTGCAGGAGGGAGTAACTGGACAAGTGGCTGGCTGATCTAGGGACAGAAGGGACACAGCTGCAGATGGGAATTCCCAGGCTTCAGTTGAACAGAGCATGCAGCTACAGCTGGCCAGTGGAGATGAGGAAGAACTGCCTCCTCTTCCTGATCCAAGAGCATTGAGGGCTGAGAGGAGGCAGGCACAATGAAGGTCAGCCAAGCTACTTCCGAGGTGGCAGCCTCATCCTTCTTGGTGGAGTGCACCAGGCAGCAGCTATTTAGCTCAGCAAGTGGAGTGAAACAACACTGGGAAGAATGCATCCATTTCCTTGCCTTGCATTTGTCAACCTCTGTGTTTCTTGCCTTGAATGTCCTTTCCTGACTTGGACTTTGTACCTTGCTTGCATCTTGACATCTGGGCTTCCTTCATGGATTTTGCCTTTGCTTCACGGACTTGCCTTAGCCTTGTCTCTGCCTATCTCTGACTTGTCTTGCCCAGTGGACTTATATTGGGTTTGTTCCTAGACTGAACTGTGAACTCTTGGGGGATTGTGTGGTTGTTGGCCGGGAATTTCTGGAGAAGACTATTTGGGAATGAGAAAGCCTCAGATAAAACCTTTATCCCACCTGTGATGTGTGCGTATGTGAATGGAATCAGGACACTTATCTTAATGGCTGGTGTTTCCATTTAAACTGAATTGAAGAGCCAAACTAGGAGTTGGTTTTCATCTACCTAGTCTATTGCCTAACAGTCACATTGCTGCTGCCTGGTAATATTCATAGGTCTACTGGATCTGCACTGCAAAATACCAGAAAGATACAGAAAACTGTTGTTGCTAATAACTACCTAATGATGGAATTTTTACAACTCAGAACCTTTAGTCCTATAAGTATTCATTTATATGAAAGTTGGCTGTAGACCTCAGTTCTTCAAAATATCGTGGCACAGATGATGCCTTACAATTTCCATAGACTGCATTAGCACAACATGATGTGTTAATTGGTCACAGATTGGTCACTGGAGATTTTTAAGAAGAGGCTAGACAGGAACTTGTCTGAGATGGTATAGGTTCTCCTGCTTGAGCAGGGGGCTGACTAGAAGACTCCCAAGTCCCTTCCAATTCTATTCTATTCTATTATGATAAATTATTAAAATTGCCAGTTTGCTTTCACACAAAATTTGTACTTTCATGAAATAGTGTTTCTGTTTGTAGATCAGAATTATTCTTACAGATAGTGTTTTGACTCTATCCATTTCCTACATTTCTTCTTCAGTAACAAAAATAATAAAATAAACCATTTTATGGATATATATATATATATATATATATATATATATATATATATATATATATGTATATATATATGTAGGTCTTTGGTTGTTCGGGTTTTCTCCCACGTAAAATTGGAAGTGTCTTGGCAACGTTTCGACGAAGTCACGTATATATATATGTATATATATATATATATATATATATATATATATATATATATATATAGTCAATCATGGTAATAGAGTTCAAGGAAGATTATGGTGATTGTTGCCCTGAAGGCAACATTTTTAATATGTGAAATTACAATGAAAATAATGAATTACTAAGATTGCTATCTCAGTGTATATTAAAAGCAATTAAAAGAAGGAATAATATTGAATCTATGTGTGTGTGTAATTTAGAAATTTTTCAATCAACAAAGAATCAGTCAGGTTGGGCAAAATCCAATGCTAGCAGATTTGAACCATTTGTTGATAGGAGTGTATTTTCATTTCAATCTAAGGGAGTGTGTGTGTGTGTGTGTGTGTGTGTGTGTGTGTATGAGAGAGAGAGAGAGAGAGGGAGAGGGAGGGAGAGAGAACTACAACTTTTGCAGGACTCCATGACATTCATTCTTAGTGGATAGAAAGAGCTATAGTGACTCACTTCTAGGATTCTTTGTACGACTGTTTAAATTGCATAGAAGTACACATTTCCACAACTAAATCCTAGAGTATAAGTTACTGAATTAGTACCTTTAAAGAAACAATATTTGTATTATTTTGGAACTCAATGCAGTCCAAAGAAGAAATCTTTAAGAATGTTAATTGGGTAACAGGAAAAAGCTCACGCTAAGCTCTTCTGTCTTCTCCCATATGGCCATGGGAACTAGTTCAGAATGTGTACAGCTCACCCTCTTTCTCAGCACACAAAATCTCACCCAGATATAACATATCCAGGAATATAGGGAAAAAGGGAAAGTAGAAACATATCCAGAGATGCAATATATCATTACTTTGTAATCCCAAAACAGGATGCTGGAAGGAATTCCAGAACTTATTAAATACCTAGTTGGTGTAGTACAGACTATGGTACCAACTGCAGCATTTTGATATAGTGCAATATCTTAAAGTTAGGAGTAGTCAATAATATACTTCTTGTTCCAGTTAATAGTTTATTTTGCAGTTTTGTTTTCATGGACTTAGTTCAAGCAAAATTCAGAGAGAGGTTGTTTGTTGTGTTTGTTTTAATAAACAGGATTTGAGAATTAAGCAATTGTTCCATAGAAACCAATGTAGATGTTAAAATGTTTCTTTTGATTATATTATATTCCATGTTTTTTTTACTAACAAATGCCTGACTCTTAATTACATATCCAAAAAAGACAGAAGTATACATAATTTTTCCTTCACTGAAAACATGTTTATACTTTTTATAGGCAATCTCTCCAAGTACTGAACTTGTTCCGATAATGGAGACTTTTTGACTAAGGATTTAATTCCTTCCCCACAGATGTGAATGAGTGTGAAGCTGAACCCTGCAAGAATGATGGTATTTGTACAGATCTGGTAGCTAACTATTCCTGTGAGTGCCCAGGTGAATTCATGGGAAGAAATTGCCAATATAGTAAGTATACCCTAAATACACAAATTTCACCCTGATTCTTCTAGTATTAGTGTGTAACTGTTAAAAGTAAATATTTATGAAAGAAGATCAAAAAAATCAATATTTAAATGAAGATAACATAAAGCTGGCTCAATTAATACAATCTCTTGTAGCCTGAGTAGATTTATAATTACTCTCTATAGAATATTTCAGCAGCTTTTTCTACATTCCACTATTTTAGTAGAATACTTTTTATAATTTCTGTATTTTCAGAATTCACACAATTCTGCATTTTTTTTCCTCATCTTTTTCTCTTTTTCCCCTGATAAAAAGAAATAGATAGATAGATAGATAGATAGATAGATAGATAGATAGATAGATAGATAGATAGATAGATAGATAATAGATAGATAGATAGATGGGATTCAGCCAGTTTGCACCAGTTCGGCAGAACTGGTAGCTAATTTTTTGTTGCCCAGGCCCAGAATGGACTTCCGGAAGCGGCATCCACACAGAGAACCAGTTATTCACATATTTGAATCCCATCCCTGGAGATAGATAGATAGATAGATAGATAGATAGATAGATAGATAGAGAGAGAGAGAGAGAGAGAGAGAGAGAGAGAGAGAGAGAGAGAGAGAGACAGACGACAGACAGACAGACAGACAGACAGACAGACAGACAGACAGACAGACAGACAGAAAATAGATAGACTGATTTTGTATAATCGTGTTTGGGATTATATTTATGTATTCATCTTTTAATTCAAGGAAGGAACAAAGCAATATTTACCAATTGCTCTTTCATCATTATCATTCTTATTTGGAACTGTTAAAAGGAAATAATGGATGTTCTAATTATGAAAAATTATCATTTGTTCTGGTCTTTGGGAACAAGACAACTTTAAATCTAAAAGAACTTATAAACTATTTAGAATCATTGTTATTGTGTATATGTAGCAAAGAAACATAAATAAATAGTCAATTAATCATTTACTATAAGGCTAATTGGTTACTACATGAATATAAAACTCAACAGCATTGCTTACAATTTACTCTTAAGTTTGTATATGAAAAACTGGTAGCTCAGCAGTGGGTGGTCCAATTTTATAAGCCTCAGTTTCATGTGTCATCCTTGATTAAAATTGTCAAAGAAATAGGTTTTATACACATTTTATATTGTACTGCTGAGATGCAAAAGATATTGTTGAAGGGAAAAATATGAAATATTGGAATATTGGGGTACATTGTATATAAATTATACTGATCTATGTGGCAAAACATAAAATCTTTCTTGGAAAATTCTCTTATTTTTATACTTCCATTAACTACAGTTAATTGTAAGGTAGATTTATGATCCATATATAATAAGATGGACAGATGAGCTTATGTCCATATTAGCCAGAGAAATGTTAAAAATCACATTTTAGAAAAATCAACCATAGATTTCTGAAACTTTAATTCCTGAAGTAGTAATATTCATTAACTATAAACATAAACTATGGCATATTGAAATGCTAGCTATAATCTTAGTACAAGATTGTTCTCAGAGACTATAATATTAATGTAGAAAAGCTCCCTTTTCTTTCACAAATGTTTATAGCATATCAAATTCCTAATTGTGTAGCAATATTGTAATTACAAAAACTATCATTGCATATATTTATAGAAATAGTGTAATTGAAAATTATCAGCTATTTATGTAAATTAATGATTTATATAATATATAACATAATATACTATATAATAGACTGCACCTGCTTCTAATTAAGCCAAGTTTTTTTCACTATAGCTTAACCTATTTAAACATTGGTAATTATAAGAAATTTGTGCAATTATGGACATTCGATATAAGTTTTATATTATGAAACAGATGTTCTATTAAGATATCTGTTAACTTCATTTTATTCTTATTTTGAAATTAGCTTGGAATATCTTCAATTCAGGACATTTTTGAAATTTTGTATAAAACGATTGCTTGCAGATCACTGTTAGGAGATTTATATAAACATTTTTCAAACAAATAAATTTTAGCCATGTTATCACACTATAGGTCTCAGAACGTCTAGCAAATATAACAAGAAACTATTATATACAATGCATAAAAAGTAGAGTAGCTTATAGTTCATTATTGTTATTATTATACTTTAGGGATAGAAGGACTAAAACAAAAAAAGCTTTTACTGCATTTCACATCACACAGACGCTGGAGGTAAAGTCCTGGTAATAGGTTTTGCAAATTGTAGTTGTTTAGAACTTGAGTTCTCATGAAGAATCAATAAGTGTTATATTGTTGCAGAGGGACCACATGTCTCATGCACATTCTAATACAGGGATATCAAATTCGCAATATCATGTGATGTGTCGCGACGTATCATGACTTTTTTTCCATTGCTGGCAATGGGGTGGGTGTGGTTTTGCCATGACACATCCAGCCCACGGGCCGGCACTTTGACACCCCTGTTCTAATAGAAAACCTATCTTTCCATGCATATTTTCTTTTCCTAGATAGGACAAATGCTTATGTGATGTTTTTTTGAGGCTGCACTAGTAACAATTGTTACCTTACTAACAATTGCTGTCTACAAATTTCAAACATGGGTAGTGATCTTTTCATTCAAAGTTGCAGTTGCTATGTTCTTTAATTTGATATTTAGTATTTTCTTGCTATAAATCAGACTTCACCCATGTTTCTGGATGTTTTTCTGGAAATCAGTTGTTCTGGGGCTATAAATGTATTGAACCATTTCTCTGTATTAATGCTTCCCTGTCTTAAATAAATGAGCACATGGTAACTGTAATTATCTTATGCCTAGCCCTTGAAATATTTATTCACTCAAATCTCATTTGACTAAGCTGTTGAGGATTTGTGGAAGATGATAAAAAATCAGGCTAGATTCTCCCATCATTGCTGCATATTCTGGTATTAATATGAAAAATTTCTACATAATCCTGTCCTTCTCCTTCCCCCTCCCTCCCCTTTTTTCATATCATTTATGCAGCATTGGATACAACCAAAGAAAGTAAGAGTCATATAATCACATCTCCTGTAAAACTATGTGTGTTAGATTATGGTTATTTAACAGAGCAAGTTGCATCCAACACCAGCCATACAGTTAGGCAAAGATGTTGAACAGAAAGCTGTAGCAATATAAACATTGCTTATAGTTTTGTCTTTAAAGAAAAGCTACCACTAATATCAGAAACTGTAGAACTGCAGGTTGATGTTTCATTGAGATTCCATCTCATTTGTTAGATTACAATTGGTACTTACTGTGCCCTTGGTTTCTTCCACAATCAATAGTGGGGAAGATTATAGCCAGGCCTCTGATGAGAAAAACTGAGAACTTTTCCTCAAGTTACAGAGGATGGAAAGCTGAAATAATGTTTCAGCAATGCTAGAGAGATGTTAAAAGCTACAAATTCTGCATCTTGCCCTGCCTTCCTAAAAGATTCCTTGGACCCAATAGAAAACAATCTTGTTGCTGATCCACAAGTAAGATTAAATTAGCAGTTATTTTGACTTCTGGCATGGGGTTAGGGCAGGGGTGTCAAACTCGCAACGTCACTTGACGTGTCACAATTTTTTTGCCATTGCCAGCAATAGGGTGGGTGTAGTTTCGCTATGATGCATCCAGCCCTTGGGCCAGCAGTTTGACAATCCTGGGTTAGGGAATACCTTCTGTATTTAGAAACTAACAAACAAACAGCAAAACATATGCCTTGATTTGACCCTGAGTAGCAAGAAGAAATATATCTATTCTTAGGCAATGGGCATGTCTTAATATGTGTTCTGTGATGTCCAATTTTGGGGTATCTCCTTGAGCGTTTCATTATCATTTTGAATCTGGCTAGCATTTGTAATGTTTGTGCAGTTCTCTTCAGTCTCACCCTTGAAACACATTTTGTTCCTATACTAAATATATTTCTTTAACAATATTTCACTTTTATGTTGGATATTTTTTCCAGAAACAACACAATAATGTACAAGAATTGATTAATTTTATGCTATGAAATCAGTATCAGCTGTTAAGTGACCAAATATATTTTCCCCATGACATGGTCTTTTAACATGGTCAATGATGCACTCATTGCCACTATTACTAAATTCATTCATCTTGCTGCTGGTTGTCTTTTTCTTCTCTTTCCCACCAGTAGAGCCTTCTGCAGAACACTAGGTTTCTGCATAATGTGTAAGTAAGATAGTTTTAACCTAGTCTTTGTGCCAGTAGTTTGATGATTACTATGATCCCATCACTACTTGATGATCCATTATTGGTTTTCTTGATTGATGAACAAAATACTAGATTATACATTGCTGCATTTCCTTTGGATTAATCTGTCAGCTGCTAAATGTGAATAAGAACCAGGGCTGGTTTTAAGCTAAGAAAAAGTAGGCACTAGCTTAAGGCACCAAAGCTTAGGAGGCACCTCTTTCAAAATCATTCTAAAATGCAAATCTTTATTTCAGTGGGAAATGGCTTCATCAGTCAATGTAGGTGCCATATATGTTTGAGCAGGCCTTGATAGGAGCAAAAGAACATCAAACTCAATAATCAGTGGAATTAGAGCTTCTTTTTATTTTTGCCACAGTACTATCAATGAATAGATAGATATTGTCTTGACTAATATACCATTAGCATTAATCTGCCACTAAAATGGAGCTTTCCATTTTTCACAATTTTAAAAGGGAGAATATAACATTCTGAGACTTTGGGATATTTTAATAAATGTGACTGAAAACTTTTCTAAAGTCACCTCATGTAGAGTAAGGTCTAGTACATAAATTACTAACCCATTTCACTATCCTATGTTTATCTGAAAAAAGGTTTCATTCTAGGATTTCTTGGAATATGAGTTCCTTTCCCATAGGGACACTTAGCAAAAATGTAGTTATTTTTCATGCCTTGCAATGTTCTTTTCTTCAGATTGAATGTAAGGCTGCACATCACAAGTGCTGCGTGATTGCTATCATCTGAATCAGACAGGTAATGTTCATCTACTTAGATATTCTGCCCCTACAAAGATTAGTAATTTCTTGCCAGCCATTATTTCTGAATCTTCTCCCATTTGCCTGAGAATTATCTTTATATGTATGTCAAATACAATTTCACTTCCATAATTTTGCTTTGATCTATGTTACTCCCTGCACAGTTCATCATTTTCATTTGACATAAAAATTCTGTAATTTTATTATATTTCTTTAAAAAGAAAGATAGGATACACACACCACTCATAAACACACACACATACACACAATGTGTGTATATATATACATATACATACATACATACGTAATATTCTTCCCAGAGAATTAATTGAACCCACAAAGTTCCCTATTTTTTTCTTTACTGGCTGATGACAGGATAACACAAAATAGTTGGGGGAAAAATCATCCTTGCTTCTATAGGCACTTGATTGGCCCTTGGTCTTGTAGCAACAACCATAATCTTGGTTTTATAACAATTAATGTTAATTTATTATCAGTTAATTACCTGATTAAGAATCTCTAAGGCTTTCCTGAAGCAACTGAAGACTTTAATAGTATCAGGATATTATTTTCATAAAATAAAATAAGCTGTTTCTCTCCACAAATTTAGAAACATGTATATCAAAAGTAAAATACTTCACCAGCAAATTAACATAGAAGTTAAAAAGAAGCAAGAATAAAATATAATCTTGGAGAACTTCCTTGGCATTAGGACACACCTAGAAAGCTGACTTTCAATATAACATCTAATTCTTAAGATTGCAGTTAAGTGTTACAGCAAGTAATATAACTTGTAAATTGCAAATGAGTAATAATAAATACCTTTGAATTGTAAAGTTGTTAAGTTTATCCCCTAATTTTACTCTAGAAATAGAGTAAAATACAAATCTGAAATCAGCAAAGGCTGCCTTTAGGATTTAGTATTGTATTTTTGAACTAAATATTAAAGTACACATCCTTAGTTTACAGTAGAATGCTTCTACAATAGAGGACAAAGTTCAAGGAGATGCAATTATCTTCCATGAGCATAAGTATAAACCTTGACTATAGGCAAAATGCTTTCTGAATTTTCAGTAATTACATTTAGTCATGGAAGAGGAAAATGTGCTATTTTGTGAAGTTTAAAGCAGTAGGATCTTCAATCAATTACTTCTGAATGTGTGCAGAACTGAGGTCAAACCAGTAATTCATGGTTGCCAACTGTTTTACAAGGCTGTCAGTGCAACAGATAGTTCTCTAAGACTGTTCCCAGAATCATAATCATAAATTTTTATGGTATGATAATACAGAGCCAGTTCTAATGGAAACCTAATGGAATAGCTCTTCCAATATTTTTGAGCATTATTGTTTATTCTGGCTGTCTGCAGAAAAGATTTTAAACTGTGGATAGAAAAAGACCAATAATAACCCACTGAGATTCTGTTTCTTACATGGTTATAATTTGAACCAAACAAGCTTTTGCAATGCTCATTCCAGACCACCTATAATGATCTTTCATATGGTCATTGCTTTATTTCTCCCTAATGCTAAACACTGTAACTGCAAATGAATCTGAATGGCACGTTGCACATTGACATGTTTATGCATGAATCAGTATTAAACACTATAATACTGAGGGTCATCTATAATCAATTGTCTGCTTGCAGTCCGGATATAATGCTATACTAAGCATGGCCACAGTTACCTAATTTCACAAAATGAGTTATTAGCAGAAGGAAATCGCAGATGTCTCAGACAGATTTGCTTTTTACATGCCTGAAATACAAAAATGGTGCGGAACTGCTGCTGATGTCTTACCAAGCACTGCTAATAGGATAGAAGAAAGTAATGCATTTAAACTATCACACCACTGCAAAACCACCTTTTTGTACCACAAGTTGTTTCCAGTTTCTAATAATCACATAGATAAATTTTCCCCATGAAAATCATACCCTTAACATGTTCTTTAAAGTCTCAAAATGATGCATTCATCACTACTATAATTTAATCCATCGACTTTCCTGCTGGTCTTCCTCTTCTCTTTTCTTCTACCTTTCTCAGCATTAGAGCTTTTTCCAGAGACCTAAGTATTTGCATAATATGTTCAAAGTGTGCCTGGTCATTTGTGTATCAAATGAGACTTCTGAATTGATTTATTCAGTGATCTGTTGCTTTTTTTTCTTGGCTCTCCATGGTTTTCTCAGGAGTCTTCTCCAACATCAAATTCAAAACAGTCAATACTTTCCCTAAATCTAATTTTTGCTTCCGTAGAGTGTCATGGAGAATACCATGGTTTTCATGATTCTGATATTTCTAGGTATAGACACATCACAGCATTTGAATATCTTTTCCAAGGCCTTCATGGCTTTTACTATCCAAGGCAGAAGCTATCCATCACTTCAGTGTCTTCAATTTCAATTCTAAGACTATTTATTCTCTGTTGTCATTATTTTGGTCTCCTTTATTTTTAATCTTTGATAATAGGGCTTGCTGATCCTTTGCATTTTCAGCTATCAGGATAGTATCATCAGCAAACTGCAGATTATTGATGTTTCTTCCTTTAAAAACACACTTACCTTCTTCAGTTCCAATTCTTCCCCTTATTATATATTTAGCATATATAACCTTGTACTGCTTTGCTAACCTGGAATCATTCTCTTTTGCCATGTTCTGTTCAAAATGTGGCTTCCTGACTTGTGTATAAGTTTATCATGAGGACAGTGAAATGTTCTGGGGTTCTCATGTTTCTCAGCACATTCAGAACCTCTTTTGGCACAACCTTATTTGCAATAAATTATATTTTTGTTGTACAATTAGAAAAATAGTCAATTTTCAGATTTCAATGAATTCATCTACATTATTATAATTGGATCTACGATATCATACTGCCGAGTATTAGGAAGCATCTTCCGAAACTAAATGAAAGAGTGATGTACCTGGTTTGATCTAAAACTGATACAGTTTAAGCAACGTTTGTTAGACTGAAATCTGTTTTCTTAAGTAATTGAAATAGGTCTACATGTTATTTTTTAAAATAATTCATTGCAACTGGATTTTGGATTTATTGTACACATGCAGCCAACAATCCATATAAATTGCTGCCCTCAAATATCTGTTCTTAGTGATTGCCCTCAAACACCTGATTCTTAATGTAACTAGAAAGTACTTATTTGCTAATTTAATTGATCACTGGTTTGGAAAAGCTGGATTTAACAGTTTTGACCAATCTTTGGGTGACTTTTAGCTTGAATTCTAATGATCCATAAATTCAACAAGAAATCATTCAATACTGAAAAAAATAGTCTATATTATTAAAGGAAATAAATAAGCATTCTACAAAATTGGTGTCTTAATCAAAACGGTTTTAAAACAATAAAAAAGAAGTCTGAATTTATATTCTCTGTAATACATACAAACCCAAGAAAGAATAAGAGTACAATAATAAAGTTATTTCTAGAACCTAGGTCAGGTAAAATTGCATGGTAATGTTTTGCTTTTACAGTTATCTCCCAGTTACTGTACAAAGCAGGCTATACTGCAGTATTTGCTACATCGTTACTAGAGGTTGTAATACAAAGTATCCAGGACTGTGTTCTGGTTTTGATTAATAAATAGCATTCAGAGGACCAGTGCACAAATACAATAAAAAAGGAGGATTGTACACCCACACACACCCACACACACACACAAATGTACATAACATTATACAATAAAATATATAACAAAATGACTTTATAAGGGAATTCAGTTTAGGACACAATTCTGTGTGTGCATCATATGCATTTTCTATAATGTAAGATAACAGGAAACCTTTCTAATTACATTGCATAGACTCTAAGCAGAATTTTGAATTATTGGTAAATTGGAAAGCCTTATGCCTGGTCACAGAGTCAGCCTGATGTTTAGACTGGATTTGGCATTTTTGTCATATTTATTTGTTATTGCTATGTTTGCTTTGCAATGAAAATTCAAGCTTACTCATATTCTGGAAGGTAGCATACTAAAATACTATCTCGGCTATTTTTGTATTTTTCCTGTTGGATCTTCCATCTTCAAAACTGTAGTATCATGATTCTATAGCTTCAGTTTTGAAAGTTCTTGTTTTTCTTCCTTTCTTTTCAATGCCCCCTCCCGAACTTCCTACGCAGAATGCTCTGGACCATTGGGAATGGAAGGAGGAATTATTTCTAACCAACAGATTACTGCATCATCTACCCATCGGGCTCTTTTTGGGCTCCAGAAATGGTATCCTTATTATGCACGACTTAACAAGAAAGGTCTTATAAATGCATGGACTGCAGCAGAAAATGACAGATGGCCATGGATTCAGGTAACAGATGGAGCGGAGTACGTGGAAAACTAATAGCCTCTATTGCTAATATGGTTTAGTGATCAGTGCAACTTTTATAGAGGTGCAGACCTGCACTGAGGTGTTTTTTGAAGTAGTTTATGTTGCCCAGAGTCCAATTTCATTCATTCTAAATATATCTATATTTTTTTAATTATACAATTATTAACACAAAAAGAAAATTATATTTCTTTTCCTTTCTACACTGTTGCTTATTTAGCAAAAGATTCAGTTTATGTGTGATATTGCTTTTATAATAAGTATAGTTCCCCTTATAAACTTTTAGGTACATGATACACACCAAGTAAATATGTAATTTATTTTTCTGCCTCCTAATGAGCTGGATATTGAAGCTACCATTCTAAATGTGTATTGCCAGAATGTAATTAGTTGGAACTACAAGCTTGTAATTGGCTTGTGATTTAAAGGGTCACTAGTCATGGCATTACAAGCAAATTAAAAGGAAGCTCACTCATATCTAAGTTTAAAGTAGTCTATATAGATTTAGAAATAAATAAAATATTTTCCATGTTCAGCACTTACTGCTTCATTAGAAGCATTGAGACATGTTACTTTAACTCAGATATGAAATAATTTTTATATTATCTTATTTTAATATTCACTATTCAGATATGATCATATTTCTCACTGAGTTTTTGTATTATGTTTTGCTTTTTATCTCCACAACATTACTCTTACCTGTCCGTTTTCATTATTCCTTATCTAATGTGACCTTTAGCTTTTTACAAAGACATTTACCAAATATAAGGGTGTAAAAATGGAACATCTCTGTAACCTATGTAATATCAATATGTTTAAGATATCTGACTTATATTTTAAAACTTCCTAAACTGTTTTTCGTAACCCAAACCCTTGAAGTAAAAGTTTGAGCTAGAGACCAGAAAGGAATGGGATCATTTACTGTTCTTGGACATGGATTACCCCATTCCCTTTAAATATTGGACCAACTGTTCCAACCAAAATCCACCTAATACAATATCAGTAAGGGATTGTAATATAAACAACTGCTACAAATGAGGATGACGAAGACCAAACCTTGATCCAGGTTTCCAACTGGATGACACTTTGCTTTGTTCTTCCCTTATAAGCAGGAAAAATGAGTCATTGATAAAATACACTAGATTCTATCAATATAAGCAAGAATGCCAATTTTATCAAAGAAGAATAATACTTGGGCACAATTTTGGGAACAAAAGAATTAACATTGAATTAATTCACAAATTTTTGTGAATTAACTCAATAGTTCTAAGCAAGTTCCTTAGTTCCTAGATCATATACAATTTCTCACAGTTTTGGTATATTTTGGGTTGTTGAAAACCTGAATAAAATTCTCTGGTGACTTTGAACCAAACCTTCTGACTTCAGTTAAGGAATGGAAAATTCTATACTTGTATAAAAAGTTGACTTTTTATAATAAATGAATTTTATATTTGAAGTCTTAGTGACTTAAAAAAGGAGAGAAGAAAGCAGAACCTTAAAATTATCTAATAAGTTAACATCTGGAACACAAATAATGCAGTCACACAGATAAACTAGCCATTATTTTCCACGAGATGAATCATTGTTTTATTACACAGTAAATTAAAAATGCAGTTAATTTGAATCCTAATGGTAATTTCTAAACTCATATCTATGCGATTATTTATTTACAGTGTTTATATACCATTTTCCAGTACAATTATCACGGACAACAATTAAAAACAGCAGTGACATTAAAAATAAAAAATAAAATGGTACAAAATAGCATCTCCTACTAAAGTATCAAATACAATGGAACATGGGACATGATAGCAGTGTTCCAATATCTCAGGGGCTGCCACAAAGAAGAGGGAGTCTAGCTATTCTCCAAGGTGCCTGAAGGCAGGACGAGAAGCAACGGATGGAAACTGATCAAGGAGAGAAGCAACCTGGAACTAAGGAGAAACTTCCTGACAGTTAGAACAATTAATCAATGGAACAACCTGCCTCCAGAAGCAAAGAATGCTCCAACACTGGAAGTTTTTAAGAAGAGACTGGACAGCCATTTGTCTGAAAAGGTGTAGAGTTCCTGCCTGAGCAGGGAGTTGGACTCGATGACCTCCAAGGTCCCTTCCAACTTTATTATTATTATTATTATTGATCATCGCACAGTCAGCCAGATGTTCAGACTGGATTTGGCATTTTGTCTACCTATCGAGTCCTTACCCAGGACCTGGCACAGGCAGATATGGATGTTTGATGGTATTACAGACATCGTCGCAGGATGGAAGCAGTTCCTAGTAAGGCCGCCTTTTGCAATTGACTAATAGCGAATTTGTCAATGCCAATGGTGTTTAAGTGGTGCTCCAGGTTGTTTTGGGATTGCACCCAAGGCACCTATGACTATTGGTACTACCCTTGCTTGCTTTTGCCACAGTCATTCTATTTCTATTTGTAGGTCTTTGCATTTTGTTATCTTCTCCAGTTCTTTCTCGTCTATTCTGCTATCTCCAGGCACTACCACGTCCACTATCCAGACTTTTTTGTCTTTCTTATCGACAATTGTTAAATTGGACTTTCTCTATTTTATGATGCCACCTGTTTTTGCTTACAGGCAAATGATATTTTTTGCAGATCTTCCAATGCACCATTGTTGCTACTTTGCCATGCCGCTGCTTGTAGTCAGTCTGTGCAATCTTCTTGCAACATCTTACCAGGTGGTCCACTGTTTCTTCAGCTTCTTTGCATAGGTGGCACTGCATAGGTGTCTGTTGCTGTCTTCTCAATTTTGACTTTATATGCATTTGTCCTTAAGGCAGTGGTTCTCAACCTTTCTAATGCCGCGACCCCATAATACAGTTCCCCATGTTGTGGTGACCCCCAACCACTTATACATCACCAGGTACCAGGGGTGTGGCCAAAGAAAAGGGGAAAAAAATGGCAGACAGCCTTGTTTGGCGACCCCCGTGAAATGGTCGTTCGACCCCAGATGGGGTCCCGACCCACAGGTTGAGAACCACTGCCTTAAGGCTTGGTCTTGTGCAGCCAGAATTAGTCCCTCGGTCTCTTTCTTCAATTTTCCTGCTCTTAGCCATTGCCAGGTCTTGTTAATATCTGCTTTCCCAGCTACTTTTTTAATGTATTGGCTATGTAGTGCTTTGTCTTCTCATGCCTCTATTCTGTTCTTCATTTGGTCTTTCTTGTAGGCCAGTTTGGTCTCTCCAGTAGTCAGTAAGCCTTCCTGTTATACTAATTTCAGTGCATCTTCATTATTGTTCTTCAGATATTCTTCCAAAGCCATTTTTTCTTCTTCAACCATCTGATGTACTTGTAGCATTCCACGCCCACCTATTTGCCTTGGTAGATAAAGTCTATCAATGTCACTGCGTGGATGAAGGGCATGATTCATTGTCATTATTTTTCTGGTCTGCCTATCCATTGCTTTTAGTTCTGCTTGAGTCCAGTCCACTATTCCAGCTGTGTACCGAATGACTGGGATTGCCCAGGTGTTGATTGCCTTTATGGTATTTCCTCCATTGAGTTTGGACTTTAAGATCTTCTTCACTCTCTTGATGTATTCACCTCTAATCTTTTTCTTGACTTCAGTGTGCTTGATGTTGTCAGCTTGAAGGATACCCAAGTATTTGTAGTAATCTTTCTCATCCAGACTCTTAATGTTATTTTCGTGGGGCATCTTGATTCCTTCAGTTTTCACTACTTTTCCTTGTTTGATAGTACGTGTAGCACATTTGTCCAAGCCAAACTCCATAACAATATCTTGGCTATATATACGGACAGTGTTGAGCAGCGATTCTATTTCAGATGATGTTTTTCCATACAGCTTCAGATCATCCATGTAAAGGAGATGGGATAGTCTAGTAGATGTTTTTGATGTTTGATAGCCATGTCCTGAGTTATTCAGTATTGTTGACAGAGGAAACAGTGCAATAACAAATAGTAATTGTGACAATGAATCTCCTTGAAATATTCCTCTCTTGATATTAACCTCTCCCAGTCTCTCACCATTGATCTGCAACTGTGTCTTCCATTGTGCCATCGATCTTTGCACAAATTTTCTGATGTTTCTACCGACTCCTGTTATTTCTAGGCACTTGATTATCCAGTCATGTGGCAGAGAGTCAAATGCCTTTTTGTAGTCAATCCATGCCACATTCAGGTTGGTCTTCCTTTTCTTGCAGTTTTCCAAGATCATTTTGTCTATTAGGAGTTGATCTTTTGTTCCTCTGCTATTGGGGCTGTTTCCTTTCTGCTCAGGTGGACAGAGATTGTTTTCAACTAGATACTGTTGTACTGCATCAGCTACCACACCAGTTAGTAATTTGAAAGTTGTTGGTAATGCAGGTAATTGGCCTGTAGTTTCCTGGTGTTGCCCCTTTTGCTGGATTTTTCATTATTAGGTAGGTTTTCCCAGTTGTTAGCCACTTTTCAATTTCTCCTCCTTGTAGTATATTGTTGAACTGCTTGGCAATGAGTGGGTATATAACAATTAGATGTTTCAACCAAAAATAATAATAATAATAATAATAATAATAATAATAATAATAATAATAATAATAATAATCGTCGCAGGATGGAAGCAGTTCCTAGTAAGGCCGCCTTTTGCAATTGACTAATAGAGAATTTGTCAATGCCAATGGTGTTCAAGTGGTGCTCCAGTTGTTTTGGGATTGCACCCAAGGAGCCTAATATTATTATTAATATTAATTAATATTAATATTAATATTATTACTGTTGCTATTATTATTATTACCAAAAGCTCTGTTAAACAATGCTATTTGAACAGTATTTCTAAAGCAAATCAAGATAGACACCATTCAGCCAAGAGGATGATTGTTGTAGATAATGGGGCACATTATCTCTGCTTCCTTCACTAATTTTGCAAATAGGGAGAAGAAAACCTTAAGTAACATGAAGGAGTTAACTAAAGATATTGGAGAGTGAAATCACCTTATAAGACTTTAAATTTATGGCTAGTACTATAC